GGGTCTGTCACAACGCGATGTGACAATTTGATGTTTTATGACTGGAGCGAAAGACTGGGTCAGTCACTACGCGATGTGACAATTTGATGTTTTAAGACTGGGTTGAGAGACTAGGTCAGTCACAACGCGATGTGACAATTTGATGTTTTATGACTGGGTCGAGAGACTGGGTCTGTCACAACGCAATGTGACAATTTGATGTTTTATGACTGGGTCGAGAGACTAGGTCAGTCACAACGCGATGTGACAATTTGATGTTTTATGACTGGAGCGAGAGACTGGGTCAGTCACAACGCAATGTGACAATTTGATGTTTTATGACTGGAGCGAGAGACTGGGTCAGTCACAACGCGATGTGACAATTTGATGTTTTATGACTGGGTTAAGAGACTGGGTCTGTCACAACGCGATGTGACAATTTGATGTTTTATGAATGTGTCGAGAGACTGGGTCAGTCACAACGCGATGTGACAATTTGATGTTTTATGACTGGGTTAAGAGACTGGGTCTGTCACAACGCGATGTGACAATTTGATGTTTTATGAATGTGTCGAGAGACTGGGTCAGTCACAACGCAATGTGACAATTTGATGTTTTATGACTGGAGCGAGAGACTGGGTCAGTCACAACGCGATGTGACAATTTGATGTTTTATGACTGGGTTAAGAGACTGGGTCTGTCACAACGCGATGTGACAATTTGATGTTTTATGAATGTGTCGAGAGACTGGGTCAGTCACAACGCAATGTGACAATTTGATGTTTTATGACTGGAGCGAGAGACTGGGTCAGTCACTACGCGATGTGACAATTTGATGTTTTATGACTGGGTTAAGAGACTGGGTCTGTCACAACGCGATGTGACAATTTGATGTTTTATGAATGTGTCGAGAGACTGGGTCAGTCACAACGCAATGTGACAATTTGATGTTTTATGACTGGGTCAAGAGACTGGGTCTGTCACAACGCAATGTGACAATTTGATGTTTTATGAATGTGTCGAGAGACTAGGTCAGTCACAACGCGATGTGACAGTTTGATGTTTTATGACTGGAGCGAGAGACTGGGTCAGTCACAACGCGATGTGACAATTTGATGTTTTATGACTGGAGCGAGAGACTGGGTCAGAGGTGGAAAGCTGTAAATCGTGGAGGTGATAAGGGGATGAGCAATGAGCAATGACATCTACCTAGCTCTTGAGAGTCGGGATTAGAGGAGAGAACGTGGCATGCTTCATCAAATTAAGAAGAGACCATTGTCATGATTGTGACTGGTCATCAAGGTTAGCCATTCTATATTGCCAAAAGTTGAAGAATCACCAAATGGTCAAGTAAGGGGAGGTTATTTGACCTATTGTGAGCCTGACTGGGAGTCACATGGCTTCTTCCCTCTGATGATTTGGGTAAGATTCAGTTCCTGTTGCATTTCTTTTCCCAAGCCTGGGGGATCCTAGCGGTGTAGAATAGCGTAACTGATTCCACTGGTACAGTTGTCTACCTCTGGTTTGTTTACCTCCTTTACTGTAATGTTCGATTGTGGTTGAGCTTGGTTTGGAACATCGTGGCAGGGATGTCGTGCTGTGGAAATGGGCAGGAACTACGCAGTATTTTAAAATGAAATTCTTATTTTTCAGCCTCAAGTAATAACATACTAGTTTGCATCCAGATTTGTTCATCTTTGCAGCTTTTCAACCAGGGAGATGAAGGACGTGGCAGTGTGTACCCGAGGCATAATGTAGAGAGGCTGTCAGTCACCAACAAACAGTGAGAGAGCCGTGCATACCAGCGGACGGACGGAGGTAACGGAGAGTCCAGGATGCCGTTCAGGGAAGTGATGTACAGCTACTTCCTGTCGCTGTACCAGTACGTGCGCACGGCCTGGCCCGTCAGCATCATCTACGGCCCCAGCCACGTGGCCCCGTCTGAGGAGACGAGGGAGAAAATTGGCCGGCTCATCGCTCTTATCAAAGGCTCAGAGGTGGGTGCCCCCTACTGTTCTCAGCTAGTAAGATATCATTGGTATATATATAAAATCAATATATATATCTCATCAATTTCAAGGATTAAAATTTCTCATTGATTTTATTGTATTCTATCAGCGAGGACTTTCATCATTTTTCCACTGAAAGCAAAGTTACCCGAGTTAATTCTGAAAATAAGGGAAGAATGGAAATCTCCATTTTTCTCATGTCTACACTTAAACATAGTTTCAGAGTGATAAGGCATTTTGAACCCCCCC